GTACACACAATCAGATAATCACACGATCATTTACATACATCAAGGACACAGCACAGATAGTTACGCGTATACATTATCACAATACAGATACAAGGACATAGACACACAGACACAATTACACACAGACATGGGCACACAGACACACACTCACACATGGACACAATCTTTTCTCCTAGAAAGGAGTATTTGTTTGGGAGAAATAGGTTGAAAAGCCATCTGAGAAACAGGGCAATGTCCTGAGTGGTGGACTTAAGAAAAAGGTGGCTAGAACCCAGCCAGCGTGGCTCAGTGATTGAGCGTCAACCTATAAACCAGAAGGTTACAGTTGGATTCCTGTCAGGGCACATGCCTGGGTTGTGGGCTCAGATCCCCAGTGTGCAGCATGCAGGAGGCAGCCAATCAATGATTCTCTCTCATTATTGATGTTTCTATCTCTCTCTCCCCCTCTCCCTTCCTCTCTGAAATCAATAAAAATATATTTTTTTAAAAACAGCCAAATGAAAAGACGCACAGGGCGAATTGTGAGAGAGCCTTAAATGCTCTCTCCTCTTGGAGACATGAAGGGCACATCACCCTCCCAGCACATTGTTTCATTCACCGAACAGGAAGTTCCATGAGCTTTGGTGTCCAGAGTTTTTACTGAGATTTCATTACATAGGCATCATTGAGCCACATGGCTGAACTCAATCTCCAGCCCCTTCTTTGGAGGGTGGGCTGGCTCAAAGCCCCAGTTCTCCAAGGACATAGTTGATCTTTCAGTGATGAGCCCCCATCCTAAGTCATCTCATCTCCCAGAAACTCAGGTGTAATCCAAGGGGCTCATAAATAACAAAGACACTCCTATTACTTGGAAAATTCCAAAGATTTAGAGTCTCTTGCCCAGAAACCAGGGACAAAGGCCAGTGAAATCCTATCTATATATATAAAAAGCCCATGACCGGAATGCTGTAACAACCAGAACGACGGGTCACTATGATGCCCACTGCGGCCAGCGAACCAGCCCCATCAGGGGTGGAGCCAGCTGGTCAACCTCCCGCAGCCCCTCCCCCACCCACTGACTCCCGATCGGTCCCCTCACCCAACAAGGGCAGGGCCCACCAGCCAATTGCCCTCTGCTCCTTCCCACAGCCAGCCTGGTCCTGATCCGCCCAATCAGAGCAGGCCAGCCGGCCAACCCCCTGTCTCCTCCTCCCAACAGGCCCGGCCTGATCCTCCCCAATTGGGGCCGGGCCAGCCGGACCCCACCTGTGCATGAATTTGTGCACTGGGCCTCTAGTATCATATAACAGAAGGGAAGAAATTCCTGGACATAAGGAATGAAAGCTTCAGAGGGCCATAAATAGACAACATCTACAGCCTCACACAGGCTCACACACACAGTCACAGGACCATCATGGACTCCCTCACTATCATTCTTCTGCTCGCTCTCCCCCATCCAGCCTCACAGGCTCCACACAACCAGAAAGACTCTCACAACCCATACACTCACTGCTTCCAAAGATTCTGCACATTTGTCCATCTCTAGCTGTCCCCCTTGGCCTCCTGCACAGCACCGCTCCTCTCCTCAGCATACTGATTTCTAGGTCTCCCTTGGAAAGGATAGAGCGTAAATGGCCGGATGAGGAGCACAGCTGGGATCTGGGAGTCTGTGAAGGGGACCGTGAGTTCAAGTCAACACCCAGAGCCAAGTGTGTCCATGAACCTGAGAGTACACATGTACCAAATGGATGTGCCCTTGTGATTGTGTGTCTCTATGTACCGTGGGTATACCTGTGCATCGTGTGTATTCCTATACAATCTATACATGGGCTTCTGTGCTGTGGGTACCTGTGTGATGTAGATGTGCCTGTGCCCCAGGTGTTCCTGTACGTGTCAGTGCCTGAATGGGTCCAGGGGCCTCTGGCTGCCCTTCTCACTGGAGGCTCTGTATCCTCTAGCTTGGTTTCCAGAGGAAAAGAGAACAGTGTACATTGGGAGGAGGAGGGGAGAGAAACACTAAAGCTATGGCACTGGACACAGGTATCCTGAATTGAGTCAGGGCTATGAGCTCCCCCACCTTATAGTCCCTCAAGCCCTAAACTAATACCCACTCGCTCCCAGTTGTGTGTGCCACAACCCTGAGGACACTGTCTCTTGGTGAACCAACACCCAATTCCTGAGAACATTGCTGGTGTCTTTTGTTCCTATCTCCTCCTTGAGGACTGGCTGCCAGGCACTGTTCTCCTGTGAGTGGGGGGAGGGGGGAGTGGGGAGAGTAACCTGTCTCCTCTCTCCTATTCACCTTTTAGCACCATCTTACCTTTCTTCTCCTTGAGGAAGACTGGAGCACAGCTTCTCCTCCACACCTTGCTGAGCCTCTTCCCACACGGAAGCCCCTGAAACAGGTTCCTTGGTGTGGTCCTCAGTTTCTACCCTACACACCCAGACCTTCCAGGAAACTGAGTTCCGGAGCTGCTCTATTCTCTCCGACCTCTGACTCCAGGTTCACCACGCTGGAGCATGCACACCCCCAGACCAGCCCTGGGGGGACCACATCCAGAGACTGCAGAAGAACTCTGCCAAGGCAAGCCTGCCCTCTCCAGCCCTGCCTCCTCCCTCTGAGCTCCTGCCCAAGACCCCAGCCCATAACTTTGCCTCTCCTTCCTCCCCCAGAACAAGTGCCCCAGCATTTAGCCCGTGAGAGCTCCAGAAGGAGCCCCGTGACCGAGGGAAGGGATGTGAACCACTGCCGCCCTGGGGACCCAAGGATCAGAAGAGAGAACCAGACCATCAGCTCCTCTGCACCAGACCTGACAAAGCTGGGCAGGGCCTGGAGTGTGAGTGTGAGTGTGAGTGTGAGTGTGAGTGTGAGAGGGTATGACTGGAGCACAGCTTCTACTCCACACCAAACTGCAATGCTCCAGTAAAGCCCAACGGGCACCCACAGATCTGTCACCTGTCTGTGGCACAAGCAAGGCAAGCCAGGTATGAGAGGGAGGAAGGGTGGGATGCAGGGAGAGAGCAGATGTTTCCATTCTCCACACTTCAGGCTGAGGGAACTTTCACTTCACTCGTTTCTAGTCACTCTCTCTCCTACAGTCCAGCCACAAAGTTCCCGTCCTCCCTCCAAAGACCATCTGGGGGAGCTATTTCCAACCTCCCACACTTGGCAAATTGCTCTTTACTGGGCTCTGTCACAGCACCCCTCTACTGTCCTAGCCAGTCTTCAAAATTTATGTTAATTTTCTGATTTTTTTTTCCACCCCCCCCCCCCCCCCCCGCATCTCCAACCCAGATGAGAAGCCCTCGGAGGGTGGAGACTGTGCCTTTCTCCTCCTCCTTCTTCTTCTTCTTCTCAAAATTTATTTTAGAGAGAGGAAGGGAAAAAGAAATATTCATGTGAGAAACATTGATCGGTCGCCTCCTGCACACACCGACCTGGGTATGCGCCCTGACCGAGAATCAAACCTGCCACCTTTTGGTGTACAGGACAACGCTCCAGCCGAGCCACACCAGCCAGGGCCGTGCCTGTCCTTTTTACAGTTGTATCCCCACACCGAGCACAGTGCCTGCATGTAACAGGCACTCAGTAAATATTTGTTGATTGAATGACTGTAGGAACAAAAATCACAGGAACGTAGGTCTCAGCTCAGATAGGAAGGGCTTTGACCCTCTGGCCATTAAGCCAAGGCCACTCATCCGAGAAGTATTTTCATAGCCTGGCCTGTCTAGACTGAGCCCTCTCTGGAGGCCTATTCCTCCTCAGCCTGGGGTCAGACGAGTAGAACAGGACAGACAAGAAAGGCCATCGTCAGGGCAGAAGTCAAGGAGATTGAGAGGAGAAGAGGGAATTGAGGAAAACAGCACTGGACAGCGTCTCAAAGCTCTTTTCTTTTTCTTTTTTTTCTTTTTAATATATATATTTTTATTGTTGATAGTATTACAGACATCTCCCACCTCCCCCTTTTATCCCCCTCCCCAAAGCTCTTTTCTTGCTGCCTATTTCTGAGGTCTCCATCTCCCAGGGTAGAACTCCAAAATCTGACTCCATCCTTTTATAAAAGAAAGTCCAGAGCCTCGCATCTTGGCGATAAATGCCTCCACCTCCTACTGACACTTTGACCCCGCCTCCTCTGAAGAAATGCTCTAACCCCGCCCCTTCCGGGCAAAGGGAGCCCCGCCCCCGGTGCGTGGAGTCCCTGTGACGTCACGGTAACGGTCTGTTTCCGGGGTGGAGCCGGGGAGGGCGGAGTTTAGGCTGCGCCGACCCCTCAGCCCCCCTCCAGGTGATCCAGCCCCCGAAAATCCTCGCCCGGGGCCCCAGATATCCCAACCCCATGACCGCAAAGCCCGCCGCCCTGACCCCCTAAATGCCGCGGGCCCCTGCGGCGACCGACCTCCTAGTTCCATAACGTCTCGCGCCTCCGACACCTTCAGCCCCACCCCGCCCCGATGTGCAGCTGAGCCTCCCCGGGGGCACCCGCCGCAGGTGCCCGGAGAGCAGGTCACACGGATCCGGGAGAATGACCGAGGAGGGGGCCGGGGGCTGGGGAAGGACTAGATCCGATCATTCCGCCCCCCAGGAGCCGTTCGGAGCCCGAGACATGTCGGGATTGAGGAGATACGAGGTGGCGCTGGAGGCGGAGGAGGAGTGAGTGGGGGCGGGTTCTGCGGGGGAGAAGCTAGCGGCTCGGGGTGGGGGGAGGGCGCGAGTTCCCGGGGGGCGGGGGCAGTGGGGGTGGGGCCCCTCCAGGGCCGGGGGCTGCGAAGGGAGCCGCCCCCGG